TTTCTTTCTTTCTTTCTTTCTTTCTTTCTTTCTTTCTTTCTTTCTTTCTTTCTTTCTCCCTGTATTTTCTTTTCTTCTAACAGTTCAACATTGAGATGTTACCAAAGATGAGCACTGTTATAACAGGCTATGATTTTCTAATTACACTGTTCTTTCTTTTCCAAACGCCGCCTCAAAAACAATAAAAGCTCCAGATTCTACAGCAGCAACAGATACTCCAGCAGCAAATACTACATCAGTATCACCAACAAATTCTACAGAAGCAACAGCCGCAAGTACAGAATCTCCAGCAGCAAATTCTACTACGGAAGTAACATCGACAGAATCTCCAGCAGCAAATTCTACATCAGTATCACCTACAGATTCTCCAGCAGCAAATTCTACAGAAATACCTTCAAATTCTACAGAAATACCTTCAAATTCTACAGAAGCAACAGCTCCGCCAACAGGATCCACAACCACACCTCCTCCGACAACTCCACCGAAAAGTACATTTCAATCCAGGGAGGCAAAATTCCCTTGAATCCCCATGTTAGTGATACTAATGGCAACATTGTTGTTTGTTTGTGTTTGTGGTTCCTGTTGCTTTATCTTCAAAGATCCCTGTGACTCAAACCCTTGTCTCGATGGAAGCACCTGTCAGCCTCTTTTCAATCAAACCTTTTCGTGCCGTTGTCGACCTGGTGATTCGTATGACCCGGACAGTGGCGTTTGCAGCCGAGGTAACTGTAACTGTAACAGTAACTGTGAGATGGAGCCAGAGCCTTTTACAACAATCCCATTAATAGAGAGAGTTTTTTTTTCTTTTTAATATCAGTAAGCATTTCTAAAAGTACATTTCACTGTATTTTCTTACATGCTTTTCCATTTAGCCAAAGTTTTCCCTGGGAACTTGAATATTAACTCGATAGTCTTTGTCCCGGAAATGGAAGATAAGACATCGGAACAATTTCAATCCACCGCAAAAAATATTACTTCTGTGGTAAGCGATTACATCTCTTTCCTATGTCAACATTTCTGGAAATCTCTTTCAGTGAAAGACCAAGAAACCTAGTTACATTGAAATGACTGCCACATATTTACGGCACTTACGGGAAAAACACAAAACTTTATTTGTGGTGTGAAATGGCTAAAACAAAATTCATTTAATTTCCAATACACAGATGGATGAGTCATTTCAACCAACGTTATCGTACACTGGATCTGTGGTGCTGGCACTGCGGTGCGTTTGACACTGTTCTTTTACTAATAATCTAAAATCAAGTCTTCCACACTTACATTGTACTATAAAGAACCACTGCAGCATTCCATCATCATTAAATGTGATATTTGTCCACTCAGGCGAATTCAGAATGATGGGTCTAGGACAGAATCAGGAATCAGTGCGGAAGTAGAGATCCTCTTCTCAGCAACTTCTGATGTCACTGCAGAAGACGTTATTCAGACAGTGAAGAATAATGTAACTTGTGATGACTGTGCACTCAAAGGCATATTTGAAAGTAAGTTTAACAGTCGATGCGTATTTATATATAAATATATATATATATTTAGGCAGATATCTTTTTGAGGATTTTTTTTCTTTCCATCAAAAAGCTTATGCATATTCAATTTACATCATTTTCAACAGTAAAGCATCATCTTTATTCAGATTTAGCAGATATATTTGATTGGCTTTTGTACAGTGTTGCTGTACAAAATTGCATGGGCCTGTTAAAATGTCTTTTTGCTGTTAGTCCTCATTTGTTATACATATGTTACTTGCGTGATGTGTTGTGAATTTGTGTGTTAGGTTGTGATGAGGTTTACCACAGCTAATGTCTGTTTTCTCTTTTTTCAAAGGCAAAGATCTGTGTGAGTCTAAGCCCTGTGATGAAAAAAGTTCAACATGTGTTGGAGGAGGGGGCGGTTTTGTCTGCAGCTGTTTGGAAGGCCACATTAAAACAAGTCTCACTGACCGGATGTGCATTGGTAAAGAAACTCATACAGCCGTCAATCAGTAGATATTTTTGTGTGTTACTCAGCAATCTCACCTCAACATTTTTGTATTTTTACAGCATGTGCCAATAGTAAGAAATTCAATGAAACTCATTGTGCACCGTAAGTCTGTCTGTCTATCTATCTATCTATCTATCTATCTATCTATCTATCTATCTATCT